CTGGGCAGCACAAAAAGGGCTCATAGTTTTAGCTCAAGAGTTCACCACCTGCTATGAAAGTCTTCAGCAGTGATCCCTTACCTGGTAACAGCCATTCACTACATGCAGTACTTTTTACTTGTTCTCATACTTGAGGAAGTCTATCCAGGCCCCACAAATCGTATCAAGTGTTGTAACACACGCTTGTGAGGGTGAAGCTTTCAGTTTATCTAACATTGCAATAGGCGGAATACCGGAATGACAACTAAACAAGCCAAAAGTTCATATGTTTGCTTTTATGTTAAATGTGTCTTGGCTTGGTGCAATACATGAAAATGTCACATAGGATTTTGTCTACTAGAAACCCAGATGCAGGCGGGAAGTGTTCTGTGAGCACAGGGCCTCTGGCAGGTAGTCGGAGGGCTGCAAACAAACGAAACAGAGAAAGAGAGAGGAGCAGTGAAATTTAATGAAATCCAGCGTGTCTGTTAAATTAAAACCAGTTCTTCTCATCAACAGCAATTCAGCATGATGCTAGTCTTGACTGTCCAATTTCAGGACTGTGTTCCTGTTACTTTCTCTTAGTTATTTAAACAAACCTCATTAAATGATTCTAGAACTGTTTATAATAATATCCTGGGGTGGACCTAGATGGAAAAACAGATGTTGGGTAGCCTTCTCCAAAACATCCAATCAGCACCAGGCTGTCAATTTGTTCAGTCCTTGTGTGGGCTGCAGGTCTTCTGATTATCATTGCATTGAAGATCTAAATGACTTAAGTGAGCTATTTATTTGCTTTACTAGGATAATGTGCAGTACTTAATCATAAGGTATTTTATAACCACCTGGAAAAACAAACCATACTGGATGAAGGGTCTCTCTTTCAGGAAAGATTTGCCTGGGAATCATCACTGGATTACAATTTATTCCTCACTATCATAAAATAGATTACATTAAACAACGAACACCAAGGATAATGTATCATTTATGATAGGAATCTCACAAGCTCAGGAATGCAGACTCTCGTGACATCATGAAAGGTACAGTATTATAAAAAGTAATTAAATCATGGGACTGGCTTGGTGTTTTTCCATTATTTTTTTTTTCTTTACAACAATCCCGCATGCTGCATCAAGCAAAAACATCTCACATGTAATTATAGCAACTTCTAGATTACTTAAGCTCCACATCAACTTAGGCATGAAGAAACAAGAAATCATACACTGTGCAACACTATCTTCTGAAACTCCTGATTTGCGGAGCAAATGTGTGGTGTTCCTACCAATGTCAAGATTTCATTGGTGTTATAATGTTAACCTTTAAAAACTTCCATGTGTTCCAATATAAAAATATATAAAGGTAATTTATGAAGGAGGACACTATATCACAAAGCGGGCACTTTTTAAAGTAGTGTCCACTTCCACTTTCATTTCCTGAGCAGAATTGGATCATCCTTTCACTTCTGATGTTAATTAGACAATTGTTAATTATTCTCTAATTGCCACTATTTAACTCTTTTAAGAGATCTATAAAACCCACTGCACTGTGGCCTCCAAGTAGCAAAGGGCAGTAGCATTTTAAAATAAGGCCTAGATTAGATCAAAATGTTTGCCCTTTCACCGATTACTGTACATGTCCAGCATGTCAGATGGGCAGCTTTCTGTGTGACAAAGGCTTCTCCTATCTTCTCCAGGGCATCCGAAATCTGGTCTTTGTGACCCAATCACTCCAGCTGAGCAATTAATTACTCAACTCAATGCTCATGGAGAACTAATAATTTGCTTATTAAAAGTTTTCCGTTTCTGTGTGCAATTTTGTAAGCCATTGGTTATTTTCAACAGCTGAAGATCTGAAAACAGTTCAAGACTTCTGATGGACCAAGGTGCTGATTTAATTAAAGGTCCGATCACGCATTTTACACTTCAGCTGGAATGAAAACCAGAAGACAGTGTAGACCTGACAACCTGGATTTTGAAGCCTCAGATCACTACTGGAACAGCTGCCAGCAAGTACTGGATTTGTTTTTTGCATTAAGCAGACTGGTCAAAGGCAGTTTTAATCTAGGACAAAATTATATTTTCTGTAAATCTTGTGATTTTTTTTCCTGACGTTTTTATATCCAGTGAACATAAGATTCAGTACAAATAGTTCTGAATTTAAATTTGTCTCTCATTACCAAGGTTTTGCAGACTTGAATGTAAATTCCTCGGTTGTAAGTTTCTACTAATTAGCAACAGAATTGTGACTGTGACAGTTAGGAACCACAGAAATTGTGATGTAGGCCCTAATTGGCATAAAAATCACTGAAAACCACAAAAAGTTACAACATTGACAAAATTCCATCACTAGGCTTTTGTTGTAACTTGCGGTCTCCATCCCCCGACTGCCACAGTCCTGCAGGTTTTCTTTCAAACACAACTTTCTTCATGATCTAATGAAATAACTGCCCCAACTGGAGCAATTTAGTTACTTTTCCCAGCTCTTAAGGTGCTATTGATTTGACTTATGAATCTGACAGGAATGATTTGAGCAGAGGTAGAGTTGGATACTTCCGCTTTAAGCATTTGGCAAATTGTCACAGTGTTCACTATTTGGACAAAAGTAGATATGGACAAAGTAGATAGTTAATACTGTTATATACTGTACAGTACGGTAAACAGATGGGATGTAAGTATTCTATCTAGTGGGAGAACAACAAACACAATAGCTCCTTAAGTTCTTGGGTTCTTGCTTGTGAATTATAATTCAGTCCAGAGATATGCAGAATGTTGCTTTCTATTCCATAGTTTATATTTTGATGCATTATCTACTAAATGTGTCGGCCGCAAAAATCAATTTAAACTGAAATCCATGTTTTTGTAGTAGTGAGGTTCTTCTCTGAATATGTTTAAAACTTCGTACTGAAGAAATAATTATTTAAAATAAAATAGGGCATTTCAATATTGTTTATTGACTCTGTTTAATGTAGTGAACTATTACTTACAACCTTAACGAACTGCGGAGAACTAGCCAGCACAAGCTGCAGAATCAAATGCGTACCTCCCAGGGAGTCACTTGGTTATTTAAGGGAAGCCATAATACACAACATACAGACTGCCTCTTTCTTGCTCTATTCAATAAACAAGGACAGGTGTTTTCTGGGGATGAAATTCGGAGAGATCAAAGGCTTTAGTAATCCCACAGGAATTTCTCGGCGTTACTGAGCATGAATATAAAATGGCTTGGAATTTTAAGTGGATTTTTTTTTTGTCGCCTTTCTATTCAGACAGGAGGAAGTTGCACTGCTCCTCAGCGCTCAGCTGGCCCTCTGAGAGGGAGTCGGTGTTCGGACATCATCATTCACACCGCACAGTCGAGAGCTCAGGTGGTGAAAAGTCTTGAGAAGAGTGATTTCTGATAGTGCCTCTTCTTATGCTGCACCTTCATTCTTGTGAGCAATGCACACTCACAGTCCAAGTGTGTTTTCTTTTGAGACCTTCCTTTGACAAACCTTGCAACGCTAACAGCACTCAGCAGCCGACAAGCTGACGGACACATGCTTAGTTTCAGTCCTCACCCTTTTTCTTCATCCGTTCCTGCACTTTGTTTGATTTTTGGAACGGCGATCCACAGATATGCAACAGCTACCAACTGTATAGTTTCTGCAATTAAATAAAAGGAAATACAATGGGTAATTTGGCATGTAAAAAATCTAAAATGAAGAGTTTTATGGCGGTTCAGGGTAAAAGTAAAAGTGTGGACTGAATTTCAGCATGATTGTGGAGAACGAACAATTATCATTCACCGATATTTATTAATACTATCATTTTTGTTGTTGTTGTTGTTGTTGTTGTTGTTGTTGTCTTTGTCATTATTACATTCTGTGGATGATTCGGTGTTTTAACGCTATTTTGTTGTTTCAGTTATTTAAACGTTATTTACACATTAAAGTGTATACCTTTGACTGGCTCCATCTGCCTTTTTAGAACATTCCCAGATGCATGAAATCTTCATAGTCCCACTCAAATTAACCTTATTATTTTTAACACCACATTAAGAACTACCGTTATGTATTTTATCAAATTAATATGAAATCTTTAATTATGGAATTGTTGTTAAATTATTCAGCCACCCTGGGTTGTAATTAGAACATAAGAACAATAACAAATGAGATGAGGCCCATTGTGGAGTTAGTAGCCAACTGATCCAAGGATCTCATCCAGCTGTTCCTCAACAAAAGGCATCAACTTTAACAACGGCCGGGAAGCGTGTTCCACACTCCAGTTACTCTTTTTCTAAAGGTTTGCCTCCTGATGCACTTCCACATAGTTTCCACTTGTGTCCTCTGGTTCATTACTCCCTGTTGATTCTGGAGTCCACTCTGTGGTCTCTAAAGTCCTTGAGGACTATAAATATTTATATCTGGTCCCCTCATAGTCTTCTCTGTCAAGACTGAAAAAGTAAAATTCTTTTGGAATATAAAGCGTAGGATATTTACCTGAAGAATGTATTTGTTTTTGTTTTATCTGTTGATGTTTGGAATGCTTCCAGAATTTAAATGCATATACATATATATATATACACACGCATATATTGTTTTATATTGAGAAAAAGTAATATAAATTGGCTATTGAAGAATATGTATTTGTCTGGTATTTTATAGGTCAGTTAATCTAATTTTATAATTATAATAATACATATTAATATTTATCAATTATTATTACTTATATTATGACAATAATATTCACTAATAATTATTAAAAACGACATTTTATATGTACTGTATGATTAATAAGTAGGTATAATAGTATTATTGTTGTTGTTTCGTTCTGTGTTTTAAATATTTCATGAGCGTCTTTTGTCTTGTAAATACAAAAAGTATCTGCATCATCGTTGTGCTTTAAATCTATTAAGATATTTTACAGATATAATTCTGAATTTCAAGTTAATTGCACTGGCATTTAACATTCCAAGGCCACAAACTAACGAGCAATCATGCCACCTAGTGTTGATATTTGTTATATCCATGGTATAGGGAAAACTCTTTCACTTCTGACTTCCTCTTTGGTTATGGCTGCCCGGGAGCTCCCTAGTTTTGAGATAGTTTTGAGATCTTTGAATTCAGACGTACCCACTTATGTTACATTTGTAAACCAATGTGGATATGACGCGAGAGCATGGTGGCTTAATTTCACTGGAAATCCTGTGTCTTACGGAGATATAAAACCTCGTACACGAATGCGCATGAAAACCTATCGGAGTGAGTAATTTAATTGTGAAATGCTATTATAGAACTTACTGTATCTTTATTCAACACAGAGGTTCAGTGGCGCAGATGCTTTTTCTAAAATCGCATGCCTCTCGTGAACAGAATCAATAAAATAGCGTTACAGTTTTTGTATTGTATGTAAACGTCATACCTGTCATTTGTAAACTTTTTTCGTGGAGAAGTATTTGAATTTCCCAGTTTTAAGCCAAAATGTTACTGTTAAAAGTTACTACAAATATTTAGAACATAACTGCAGGCATTACTGGGAAATCTGGATAGCCTGCAGTCCTGCTATTGTAACAACATTGTTTCTATTTTTCAGTTTTATTTTAGCTTTTGTATTTGTTGTTTCAGGCCATCCATGGGTGTTTCGTGCGTCAGAAAATGGTGCCAAGCTGCTTGCAAACATGAAAGAAATATATTTTCCTGAACTGAACGATATCCAAGATGGGTATCCTGTGTACCTGGAGGTAAAGATCACTTCTCCAGGTGAGATCAATCCGCACCAGGTACAGGCATGCCCAGATCCAGTCTTCTTGTCCTGGATTGCATGCATCCAGCCCCAGCAACAAGGCCTATGTCTCACAAGCTTTAGGGTTGATTACTATATAGTGGAGGAAAATTACATTTCCAAGGGCTCACCTTCTAATGTACAGAACACCTGATTTACAGATGAGCCCAAATTGTCCTGCTTAAATTAGACCAAGAACACTGCTCAGTACAAAGTTAATCAGTGAAGGCTTCTGATGTTTAAAAAATGTGTAGATGACCTTTTCCAGTATTAACCAGTGGTAAACATTTATGTGAAAGGAAATAAACATGAAATCAGTAAAGCTGCAATAATATTTAAAGTAAATCAAACTATCTCAATTATGTAATCTTACTCTATGAAGTCTTAAAGGCATTCAGAACCTATCTTAGCTCACCCACTTCATGGCAAGCTATTTTAAATTAGATAGAACTAAGGTGTTTAATTTCTTTCAGGTTCAGCCTTAGTTCTCTCCAACTGTGTTCTGTGGCAAAAAAGCTTCAATTAATAATTTATTTTTTCCAGTTTACTCTTTACAGGATTACTGTATAATGCTGGTGCAAAAACTAGTGAAGAAGAAAGACTTTGATAAACTGGACATTCCTCAGTCGCTGAAGAAAGACCTTAAAGAGTTTCCCAATTTACAAAAGGAGCTGCGAGACCTCAACAGAGTCCTTCATGCAATTAACTAAATAGAACATCTGTGTATGTTTATTTTGAGTTACTATATAACATTAACTCATATTCCTGTAATGTCATTTGAGGCCTCATGGGTATTTGCTTGGACAAACCAGTTTTCTGATATTTCCACAACCACAGAATGTCTTTCTCAAGGGACCATGAGTATCTAAATGTTAGATATTGAGAATGTTTACATAGAAGATTTTAAAGGTGTCATGTTTTGTTAAATTTATATTTCACTGGTGTAACAGATATTTACAAATATTCGTGTCTACAAATAAAAATGGTGATGCACGCATTAACCTCTTCAGTGAAGAAATGTACTAGTACTTGATTTATTCCAGTGTACAGTATTTGTCTCGCAGATATTGTACTTCTCAGCGTAATGTATGGCCGCGAACTCCCACTCCTCTCAAAATAATGTCCTATCATGAAATCATTTCAGCTTTTTCAAATGTGTACCTGAGAGCTCAGAAGAAAAACCAACTGGTCTGTGGGCCTCCATGTACAGAGAGATTGTCAGCTGATGGTGAGGTCCAGGTGCAATGTTCTGGAAAGGAGTGTCGAATTGTGCAGAACCCTACCTCTGGTGTTTGAATGGTCTGACAGCATAGCGACATTATACTGATCAAGTCCTGGGACCTCACTTGCTGCTCATCTTGACAAGACAACTTTTCTACAGGACTACGCACATCTGTCCAACTCCTCTAAAAACATTTTCTTGCGAGACAGGAATGTGAGAGGTATGCTGTGGATGCCTTACCACACTGCAGCCCTGTTGATTTGTGGGATGAGGTGGGAAAATTAAAGTTCAGAGACCAATGAACAGGCACATAATTTTCCAGGAATGAGACAGAATCCCACAAGACAGCATCTGCAAACTGGTGAAAAGCACACATCACAGAAGTACAGCTCATATTGCCTTAAAAGGCAGCCACACATACTGCTGGCCTGTGACTTTCACAATAGACCCTCCTTGGTCAACACTAATGGTGAAAAATGATCAGCATCTGCTTAGGTCATTTCTGTTCCATCATATATCGGTGTCTGCAACAAAAAATAATTGATCATTTTCCTGATACTAATCAGGTGGCTTTATTGAAATTTCAACTGCTAAGTTTCTTTTGATGATCATTACAGTTTACATTTCTTAGAATGTTTACAGGATAATGTATTTCAATATATTTCAGTAGGGGCGGTGAGCCTACTGTACATACTGTGTAACTAGCTTGTGCCAACCCAAGCAACAGTAAACTACTGGATCTATGTACAGACTCACCTGATAAAAAGCACAAATCAATTTGCTGGTGTGTTCATTGCTTGAGCCTTCCAGGTGTTCAGTATTGCCATAGTATGTTGTGTAAACATCTTTTAGAATTTTCTAATTTAAATACAGCACAAAGAATGGGGTTCATTCAACGGGGAGGAAGATATTGAGATGATTTGTTCAGAATGCAATGCTTGTGTATGAATTAGATAAGACTCGTAAAAGCCGTGAGCCAATCCAAAATGTACTTTTCGGGATTTTTATATTAAATTAAGCAAATAAGAATGATTACGAAGGCCTCCGGGCATCAAACTGCACCTGACCTCTCATTTCTCAGATGCTTACAGTAATTACAGAAAATGTTTTTTTTAAACTGTCCTGAAAATGAAATTAAACTGAACACTTGAGTGACAAAACTTACTAAATTTATATTACTGCATAATTTATGTGGCACTTCACAATGCACAGATCTATTTGTTTTATAAAAAGCAGATTGAACAGTTTCATTTCATACTAATCGTAGTCATCCTTACTTAAAAGCCAGCATTTGCATTGTCTTCCTACAATTCAATAATTGAGCACCTTGCATTCGTAGAAAGTGCAAATTAGGATTAGATTTTAATTAAAAAAACATTTAGAATGGGTAATTAGAAATGATCAAATAGAAAATGAAAATTACTCTATATTTGAATAACCCATTGGAATGTGATCGTATTGTGAAGGCCCACTCAGTACTTTAACAGCGAAATCTTGTACAGAAACATTTAAGTCCGTTTTGGTGCATTATTATTAAAATCTTTTACCTTCTAAAAGTGTGCACGGTTAATTAGGTCAGGTATCAATCCTTAACTCAATTCTTAAGAATACTTTTCAGAGTAGTACGCAGTCTATTGTAGAACAAGAAACCTTTTTTTAAAGTAATATTTAAAAGTAAACTTGAAAACAATGCATTGAATTTACAAAATTTTAATAATAAGTAGCAACAGCTTTCTAATACAAATCGCTGGCCAACAGATCAAGATGACTCTTCCGGAGCGCTGGAAGTGTAGGAGTATCTCGGACGTCACAGGCGGGCGGCCCCAACGCTGTCTCCACGTGACCTCGCCCTCACGTTGTTCCTTTCGACAGGGTGCAGAGAGCTGGCCGTGTCTTTTTTTCCCCAAGGGAATGTACATACGTATGTTGCAACATAATATAAAGACAACAACAATCAGCACAGCATTACAACAAAACAGAACCTTTTTGAAAATGTGAAAATTACGGAGGGGGTCACATTGAAGAATTAGCTCATATGCTAAAATCAGCTTTCCGAGGGTATTTTTTATGCGGATCCTGACGGGAGTCACACTTGAAAGCGGACACATGCACAAATGGTCAGACTTCTTACTTCACCGTTTCCCAAACATATACACCAAACATTTACCGTTAAAAGGTCAAAGCTACTCCATTTGAAACGGAAGAAAGGAAAATCGCACTTAATTCATTTGGACAGTTTCAAATCAAATCAAAGTTGATCAAATGCACAACAATACAGCGTGCAGCAGTAGTTGCTGGCAATGAAATGTCTTTAATGTTTTCAGTTTAATGGTTTTAGTAAAAAAAAAGAATTGACGATTTAAGTTATTAAACCATCAAATAATTTCGCTAGTCTTTGCTAGACGCTGAATACACTGTATTATTTAAATGTTCATGAAGAATAAAGAAGCGGGAAGAAGCTGTAACAGCTGGTTCAAGACCTCCTTCGACCTCTTTAACCTCGATCCACAACGAGGCGAGGACTTCACCAAGCTTCCTCAAAGAGCACGACTGACCTACTTTACATCCTCTACGAGGTCAGCCGCAGCTCAACCCAGGTTTTAAACAGTCCGAAGCGTGTCACGCAAGGTCAGTGGGAGGATGACTTCACATTTGCCTGAGCATTTCGAACCTCTTTGGTACACGTGATCTTACTTTTATCAAGGCAATACGGGGCCGCCTATAGCTGGGGTCTTTTCCCGTGGCGTGCTTACTCTGCGTCTCCGCGTTGTGAGGTAGCTTTTTTTTTTAAAAAAAAATCTTTTATAACATGTATAAAGAATTTACAAAAACAAATACAACCAGAGGATCAAAATAAGTACAAGAGAACAAACACAAACAGAAAAATAAACAATTAACCGCCAGAGGTAATAAGTACGTTATATGATTCAATTGTATTTTTTACATATATCATATGTTTTCCTTGCTTTATTATTTCTCACATTTTTAATAGAATTTAAATAGTTTCAGCTCCACCTCAAAAGTACTAAAAAGGGGAGGATTATTAGACCATTTGGATTTATGGATGTGAAATTTACCAAGAATGATTAATAAATTGACTATAGGTACTGTAGCTTGTAGGCTGTAGTGGGCTTGGACTGTTTCACTTTTTTTGAAAGAGTGAATCGAGTATATCAGAGAAAGTTTTAAATATCAAAACGAGTTTGAACCACTGAATTATAATGCGGTATTGCAACCATAATCGGAGAAATCACTAAAAATGACAACTTACTAAAACTAGCCTTACCCAGTTTTGAAGCTAAACGGAAAATAAGATCAAATGTAACATTTGTAATATTGTTATTTGGTAGTTTTCAGTTTTTTTTCCCCAAATGGAAAAAGGCAGTTTGAGAGAAAATACTTCTATGTAAATCCTAGGAGAAATAGTGCACATTAACAGTTTTGTTGATGAGAGCCTGTCTAGTACAAAATGTTTTGCAAGATAAAAAGCAGCAGGAAATAAATAAGTAAAATAATATTGGCAAATATTCAAACGACAACGTCCTCATCAAGTCCTCCTCCAGCATCTCCCAGTTCAGCTTCCAGTACCCACGACCGAATGCTGGAAGGTTCACACCCGAAGAAGGTTCTTTTCTTTTCAGCATGGAATAAACATTTACTTGTTCCTTTGCAGCCTACGCAGACACCTACTTGAACTTATATTGCCAAACTACACATTTATTATACTGGATTATGGCAGACTTGTTATAACAGTTGATCAGGTAATACAACAGCGAGCCATGATCATTAACATCTCAACTAAAGCAAGGCGAAATGAGTAATTAATAGAACATAATTAAACCACTTCATGACGGTTTTTCCCAAAAACATCAAATCAAAGTGATGAGCTAAACCCTTAGAAGTGGAATGATGGAAAATAAATCTGCAGACATCACATTTTATTATTCACCTACTGCATGGCCTATTTGCATTCACAGACATAATACATACATTATTGGTCATTTAAAACACACAAAATGAAGCATTCTTCTAGTACCTTTTTTACAGCATTTATAATATTTTAATCAACAAAGTCCCAATAATATTAAATTGTCCCATATTTGCCATTTATCACATTAATTATAATACAACCTTACAACATTCATAAAATTCAGTCTAACTGTACGCCAATATTATCTTATTACACCCCTACCCATACACCCAAACCTTCTGGTCCTTATTTATGAGCAGAGTCAGCTCATAATTGGGAGAACACCATAATTAAGTGATTTATACACTTACATAATTATGCAATATAATATATACATTTAATTATGTTGCAAATACAAGTTTGAATTCTCTGCCATTTCCCATTTTACAACTCTTCTTGTTATTTCACTACCGGGTACTGCTAAGAAGAAAGGTCTTAATGATATGTATCTGTTAATTCCTTTGCTCACTTGTTTACACGTCAGGGTCAATTCTATTGAATTGAAATCTTCTAGGTTATATGGTATTTAAAGGGACAAATTCTAAATATTACGTTTAAGCAGGTGGCGACTCACATCACATTACAGGACACTTCTAAGGACTAATCAATGGTCAGAAAATAATTTAGGGAAATTAATGGGTCCACAGAAGTTGGACATGCATACAAAACGAGAACAAAATTCAGCCACACACAAACACCCAGCTTTCCCCACTGACCCTGGATTTGTGCTGCACCAGTACACTGAAGGAGAGCGACGGTTCCCTAACTTGGTCAGACGTCTACAAACACACCACAGCTGTGACAACATGGGCATGGACATGTCTCCACAGGCCTCAGTTCTTCTTCATGGAGTCTAAGATGCGTAGGATGTGCAGGAAGAGGTTGAGAATGTCCAGGTACAGGTTGATGGAGGCCAGTATGTGCTCCTCAGGGGACAGCTTGTGCATAAGCAGGTGGGTGTCGTAAACGATGAAGCCACAAAACAGCAGGGCTCCCATTCCAGCAAACACCAGCTCCACTGTCTCGCTGTGCAGAAACAGCTACGAAAAAAACAAAAAAAGGGAAACTTACGGTCACAAAGCAACTTCATTCTCCTGGATTATCTTTCTGACCTCTTGTAATATTTTTAAATGTGTCCACCTGCATTACCAGAAGGGACACATGCTTCGACATTAAACTTGGGGACAGCAAAACTGATTTTATATTTACGTTTAAAAAAGGCAAAAAGACAAATTCCTAATACAAGAAATTGTATATGTCCAATAAAGTGACCTTATCTTATAATGAATAGAAGTACCCTTCTTACCTTCATAAAGCTTGCAATGATCAGAATCCATAGGCAAGTAAACAACCTGTGAAGAATCACAAACAGCAGTGGTTAGTAACATCAAACCTAATTCTCTGGTAGAAACTGGACTTCATTATTCACTCTGGAAATATCTATGAGACGTCAGGCAACAAAGGTATTTCTTGAGTGATCTCCAGCTGTTAGACCATCCATTACTATTCCAGTTTTTAACACTCAGTTTTACATTCTTTTAGTTTTTTAAGCTGTAAACATATTATTTGCAAAATTCCAGTCTAACAATGTTAAAGAACTGTAATTTTGACTGCTCAATTCATAATAATTGTATGTTTCTTAACACCTACGTGTCAAATAAGAATCTGCAGTGCCACCCTCAGACCTACTTTTTGGTGGACCTCAGAATATACTGATGAGACAACAAGTGTGGAAACAGCTTCTAGGTCTTGTTAAAAAATGGTCTGCCAATGCTGTGCTAATTGGTGACAGGAACAAGGGCAAATTCTGAGACTCTACAGATCAGCTACACAAAATGCTCTAAAAACATTCTGAATCTTATTTTCCTTATGTACACTCTGTGTATGAATTTTCAAACCAAAAAATGTATTATAGTATATTTGTCCTATAACTCCCCATCTACAAGGAAAACATAGCGAAATAAGGAGCATAGTGTTGGAAAACATACCCAGCTCCCAATTTACTGAAGTCCCTCTTTGACTGGAAAGTGTAAGCTGTCAATCCTATAAATACTGCAGCTGTAAGGCAGAAGGCCTGGAGCACCACAGTGTACTCATAGAACGTCACTGCAAAACAAACAAAGTTCATATTGACACACACACACTGACAGAGACTGTGTACACAAAAAACAAATGCATACAATATGATTCATATCACCTATTTTTACTGAAGAAGTAAATCTGCTTAATTATAGAAACTGAAAGCAAAAAGTGATTTCATTTCTATAGTTACTCATTTTGAAGGAGGGAATTCATGTTGCTTTTTATATGATTACCTGGGGTGGATGAATATTCTGTGATATTAAAGTAAAACTGAATATCTGCAGGCCTTACCTGCTGTTGCAACAGAGACAGCCTCCAACAGTGTCTGAAAGAAACATGTGGTCAATGATTAATTGACTTCCAAGCAGCAGTCTGATAAGCAACTCAAATGGAATCACAATAACTCAGAATCACAATAACTGCCTATTACAGACTGAAATCTTCTAATATTACAGCTCAGTTTTGAACACGGTAGCATACATAGTATATACGATTTGGTTTGCTAGGTCATTTGGGTGCAACTACTCAATTATGCTGCTAATAAGAGAATTTAAAGCCATAAACATTTCCGTTCTTCAGAAAAGTTCAGAATCTACAGGAAAACAAAACTTACAAAGCCCAGCAGCAGGTAGAGGTTGATAGGGTGCTGATGTCTGTAGATGGCCAAGGCAAAGATGAGACCCAGAGAGCCAATTGCGGACACCAGCAGCAGAGCAGGACTAGTGAAAAAGCCACAAACAGTAATTGTATACTTCTGGAAATACCAATGCAGGAGGGTTTCAAAAATCCAGTCTAACTGCGATGTTAGCATACTATCAATGCACCGCCTAGCAGTCTAGCTCAATCTTCTAAAGGGACACAGAATTTCTAATCTTAGACACTATAAAAAGTTACAAAACTTCCCCTGCTTTTACATTTTTTGACACAGGACGAAGGACAGCAGCAGCACCTTCCCCCGGTCAGGCTGCGGTTGAGCTCAAGTGCCAGACAGCTCCCTGACGCAGACAGTCTCCTAACAGTTCCACAGCCCAACCTTTTTTCTCACTGCTAACCAGCCAGCTGGTCACCAACGTCCACCATTCCCATCTCTCCCCATGTTCAATGTACTGGTTGGCAACCGAAGCCTCACGTGTGAGCGGACAAAGCAACTGAGTTACGACTTCATGTTCTAAGGGTTCTCCTTTTTGCACGCGTGAAGGTGGATCAGGAACGCTTTTTTTTTTTTGCCATCTGTATTTTAGACTCATTTGATCTGTTTGCTCCCTACATTGTCCTGTTTTACTTTTAAAACAAGTTTTCCTTCATAATTTTCAATCAGACACTGCACATTCTGTGGACTACGCTTATGTTACAGAGACTTGGACTGTGGCATTTTAGTCTGGCTCAGTACTATGAAGCTGAAACCTTCATAGTAAAAGTTAGGCATAAGCAACATTTCAATACTTAATACATCTTACAACTTAATGCAGAGTTAGAGGTAAAAATATGTCCTGTTCCTGCCCACGGAAGCACAGAAGACATGTTGAAGTGTGTCATACACAGTACCTTGCGTGTACAAAGTTCTTGATGGCATCACTGTACATGAAGAGTGCTGCTGTTGCTGTAGTCAGGATGATCTGGATGGACAGGATGGTGTAAACCTTACGCAGGAAATCTGTCCAGGGAAAAGGGTCAAGACTTCACACTGAAACTCAGCTCTATTCA